CCTCAATAGCCCTCCATTGACTCCCCAGCCTCCCCCTTGACTTTCTGCTGCCCCCCAACAGCCTCCACTGACTCTCCAGCTTCCCCAGTGCTCCCCATCCAAAGCCTCCCAGCGATGACCCAGAAGGTCCCACTGCCCTCTCCCAGCCCAGAACGCCCCCTCAACTTCATTCCCCCCTTGTCACCCCCCCTCCCCATCCTGAGCTGCCTTTTAACCAAGGAAAGAGATAGACGCAGACTTGGCGAGGGCCTGGGGGGCACCTGGGGGCTGGGGGCTGAGCGTGGGTGCCCAGCGTGGAGTCCACAGCATCCCTGATCTCCTTCGACTTCAGGGTTTTCACCCCTGTGCTGGCCATGGCCCTGATGGTGCGAGTCCCTGCTGGGGGTCTGGCTGCCCCCAGGACAGCAAGGGGGCTCCTGCCCGTCACCTTGACATCACAAACACTGGTTCCACAAGGGGCTTCCATCCCAGTCCCTCCCCTTGTGTGCCTCAGGTTACCCTTTGGATTGCGGGTTTCACCATTTCTAGCCCCAAAATAGCCACCAAAATACTTAGAATCAGAACATCTGGAGTTGGAAGGGATCTGTAAGGATCATTGACTCCAACTCCCCGCTCATCAACAGCCCAGTCTCCCCCAGTACGTAGCACCCTGGTTAGGTGGGGCAGGAAGACTCCATCCTGAAAAGGGCTGGAGAGAGAGAAGGAAGTGCTAAAGAATAAAGACTCCTGCGGCCAGATCCCATCAGGCCAGGCAAAAAGTTGTGGAAGGGGAGTTGAAGATCACAGAATCTTCTAGGTTGGAAGGGACCTTAAAGATCATCTTGTCCAACCGTCAACCTAACTGACAAAAATAGACACCCACACAACAAACAAGGAGCATCATCACTAAACCAGACCTCCCAGCACTACATCAACCCGTCTTTTGAACACCTCCAGGGATGGGGCCTCAACCACCTCCCTGGGCAGCCCATTCCAATGGCTGAGAACCCTTTCAGGGAAAAAATTTTTCCTATCCAATCACCAGGACTTGGCAATAATGCTCCCCAAAGGCAAAAGAAACTCCCACGTGAGAAATGCCTGGAATAACGCGGACTAAGGGGAAGGTAAATCACGGAAAAGCTGAGACACAGAATAAAGACTCTTTTATGGAAGAGAGAGAGCAGTTTTGCAGTTCTCGCCTTGGAGGAAATCAGCTCTTCACCATCAGTGGTGCTCGCCATGTTCCTCCTTCAGGGGTGGAATAATTTCTCCCGTCTCTAAAATTCTGTCCCCCTGATGGAAGGAGAGAGATGGTGAGCGTTGGCCCCCTCAGCACAGCACAGCCCTTCCACTGAGCTGCAACCCTCCCCACCTCCAGACAAAAAAAACCACCTTACTCCAAACCCTCTCATTCACCCAACATTTCCCAGGATGGGGAAATAACATCCCAAATTATGTGAAATCCGTCCTTGCTTCACCCCTTTCTTCTCTGCTACAGAACAGCAACCAAATGTTTAGAGACTGTTATTATTTTAAAAATGTGTCTTGGTCTTAAGGCACTGCATCATCACAGCACAGCTTTGAGTCTCCAAACCCATGGCCCAGAGCCCACAAAAAGCTACGTAATCCCCCAAAAAAGAAATCAATTTGATGCTCGACTGCTCTTTGTTACAGCTTCAGGCTCTGCCTTGGCCTCCTGAGCTGCTCTGACTCCAGCGAGTAATTAGGCTGATGTCAGAGACGCGGAGCTCGGTCCTCAGTGCGTTGCTACGTGGTTGTTAGGGATGGAACTGTTTACGTTTTTATTTTAGATAAAGCACAGTTAGGTAGGTGTTATGCAAAAAAAAAAAAAATAAATGTGCAACTGACAGAAATAGCAGAGCTAAACCTCAAGGAGAATATCTGCCCACCAACTTGCAACACCAAGCACTGAGGGAAAGCTGGGCACAGTCTGAAAAAACAGCAAAGACCAAACCATCCGACACTTCTCCGCTCGGCAAAACGAAGCTCAAGCTGGGGGTGGCGTGACTGTGTCTCTCTGGGGACACCCGAGTGTGGGGGACCTTCAGGGACACTGGGGACCAAGCTCGTGTGGCCAGAATCAGCACGCTCAGTCTTCTCTGCTACAGAACAGCAACCAAATGTTTAGAGACTGTTATTATTTTAAAAATGTGTCTTGGTCTTAAGGCACTGCATCATCACAGCACAGCTTTGAGTCTCCAAACCCATGGCCCAGAGCCCACAAAAAGCTACGTAATCCCCCAAAAAAGAAATCAATTTGATGCTCGACTGCTCTTTGTTACAGCTTCAGGCTCTGCCTTGGCCTCCTGAGCTGCTCTGACTCCAGCGAGTAATTAGGCTGATGTCAGAGACGCGGAGCTCGGTCCTCAGTGCGTTGCTACGTGGTTGTTAGGGATGGAACTGTTTACGTTTTTATTTTAGATAAAGCACAGTTAGGTAGGTGTTATGCAAAAAAAAAAAAAATAAATGTGCAACTGACAGAAATAGCAGAGCTAAACCTCAAGGAGAATATCTGCCCACCAACTTGCAACACCAAGCACTGAGGGAAAGCTGGGCACAGTCTGAAAAAACAGCAAAGACCAAACCATCCGACACTTCTCCGCTCGGCAAAACGAAGCTCAAGCTGGGGGTGGCGTGACTGTGTCTCTCTGGGGACACCCGAGTGTGGGGGACCTTCAGGGACACCTTCAGGGACACTGGGGACCAAGCTCCTGTGGCCAGAACCGGCACGCTCAGTGCCGAGCTCCTCCCGACTCCTATCCCTGCTCCTGTTCCTCCAAGTATTTAATAAATCACACTCTCACAGAGGCACCAAACACCCCAACCCCGGCACAAACCCCCACTTCTCCCCAAGTCACCCCTTCTCTGCCTGTTTTACGAGCTGGAAGATAAAGCAAGTTATTAATGGACTTACTGGGAATATCCGTGGATTTGACATAACAACCCCGTGCGGCGATTTCTGAAAAGGGATTGGGGAGAAGAGAGGGAAGGGGTAAAGAAAAAGGCACGTTAAGCAGATAAAGTCCAAAGGATTTCCAAAATGAGGAAAACAACCCTCCTAAAACACAAGCTCCACCAGGTTCCAGGCTCACCAGGTTCTTTCCGCCAGTTAAAGAAATACCCGAGGGTAATAACATTACACTCCCCGAGCACAAAAACACCGTGGATTTGGAATGTTTGTCCCATCATCAGTGCACTGGCTGTTCTCCTTCCCCACACCAGCCACCGCTGCGGCCGGGTTATCCCCAGCATCACCGTTCCTCCAGGAAGGCAACAACTAAGACACAGCTTTCCTGCTGGCGGGAGGCAGTGGGGCAAGAGCTGGTCTCTACCAGGAAAGACCACCAAAAATAGAGGTATTTGTGCCCCGCAAGAAGCGGTGAAGAGATGGCAGGAAGTCACCAGCGGATGTATAACCAGGGTGTTTGTAGACCAGACCCCCAGGCCCGCACGCACCATGACGTGGTACTTGAGGCAGTAGTGGATGATCCAGGCGGGGATAAGGACCCGAATGAAGACGAAGCCGGTGGTCTGATAGGCCTTGAACACCTGCGGGGGGGCAGAGGGAGGCGCGTCAGGCCCGGGGTGTGCGTGGGGACGGGGTGTCCGGCTGTGTCCCCCCCGGTTCCCCCCTCACCTGCTGCCGCCAGAGCCCCCCGGGCTGCAGGAAGCGCTCCCAGAAGGCGGCCACGGGCCCCAGCTTCTGCCGCGGCAGGACGGGCTCCCGCTCGCTCAGCTCCTGGTCCCGCAGCCAGCGCCGCCGCAGGGCGCGGAGCTGCTGCAGCCGCAGCCGCTCGTCCTCGGTGTACCCGCTCATGGCGGCCCCGCTCCCCTGACGGGCGCCCTGTCCTTCCCCGCCGCGCTCCGCAGTGACGTCGGCGCGCCGCGTCATCACGCTGCGCGGGCCGGGGAGAGGAAACCCGCGGGGCGCCGGCAGCGCAGCGGGCTCTAAACGCGGGGGTCGCGGGTTCGAGCCCCCACCTGGCCCCA